TTTTAAGATGCATTTTAGGCCACTTCCAACGGATATAGAGTATAGAAAGGGCATACACGTTGTAGAAGGTCTCTTAAACTTCAAATTAACGTAGAGAAACTCAAAATTGCTTTATTAGTACAGGAGATATAGGGTGTTTTCCACAGCATGTTTTGCAAAATAGTTAAAAACATCATATTTTGATCGGCGTTTTAGGGTCCTTCCTAGGGATTTAGGCCATGGGTAATGTACGTACGTTGTAAAGGGTCTCTTAAACTACAACTTGAAGTTGAGAAACCCTAAATTGCTTTAATAGTATAGGAGATATAGGGTGTTTTCCACAGCATGTTTTGNAGTTTAGGAGATATAGGGTGTTTTCCACAGCATGTTTTGCAAAATAGTTTAAGGGTTTAGACCATAAGTAATGTACGCACGTTGTAAAGGGTCTCTTAAGCTACAACTTGAAGTTGAGAAACCCTAAATTGCTGTAATAGTATAGGTGATATAGGGTGTTTTCCACAGCATGTTTTGAAAAATAGTTAAAAACATCATATTTTGATAGACGTTTTAGGGCCCTTCCTACAGATTTTTGCCATGGATAATGTATGTACAATGTAAAGGGTCTCTTAAACTACTATTTGAAGTTGAGAGACCCTAAATTGCTTTAATAGTATAGGAGATATAGGGTGTTTTCCATACAACGATCAGAAATTTCAGAAATATAGTAAATGTTGACGAGCAGAACGTCGTCCTAATGGTGCAAGATATGGAAAAAGGGCAGGTGCAAAGAATTTCTACTGTCTAAGTAAATTTATGCCTCAGAAGTTCAATTCATATTATAGATCACATTTTTATTAAATAATAATAAATCTCGTAACAAAAATTCAAAAGTTTTTCCAAAAAAAAAACAAAGTAAAGAAAAAATTGACTACTCCTCCTGAAGGGGTAGCACGCCAAGGTACATATAAACTTGCGCCAGCCAGAAAGAACGACCAAACAGCAATTCCTTTCATCACTACTAAATATCCACTTCTTTTCCGTCCGCGGTCCGAGTGTAGTTTAATTAACTTCTACGAAAACGAAACGTTTATTCGCGCAGGAGAGAACTGAACAAAAGCCTCTTGCTGCGAATGAAGCAAAACTTACTTCTGTGCCTTGTACTTTCAGTTTCATATGGTCCTCGCGCGTTGTCTTGCCATCCTTCCGCTTCTTCCAGCAGTACCCATCGCGGCGATAGCGCACCTTCTTCCGACTGT